ACCAACATCTTTATCTTTCTCCCCATCTTATCTAACTATCAACTATCTTTCTCCCACTTTCGCATCTTTCACTTTCCATCTCCACCAACCCATCTTCTCCATTTCCCATCTCCACCACCCATACCATTTACCAACCCATCTTTCTCTCACTTTCCATCTCCACCAACCCATCTTTCTCCCACTTTCCATCTCCACCAACCCATCTTTCTCCCACTTTCCATCTCCACCCACCCCTCTATCTCCACTTCCATCTCTCATCCCACATCTCTCTTCTCCCTCTTTCCATCCACGCCAACCCATCTCCTTATCTCCATCCAATACCACTTAAAATCCCTCCCTCCTTCCTTCCCGCTTATCACCTCAGGAGCGAGTTCGATGGCCAGCTGTTTCGTGGCCATGATGAGCGCCGCCTTCGTCATACTGTAGATCGTGAAGTAGGGCGGCGTGGGCGTCTCTCCGCCGATGTCGCCGATGTTGATGATGCTGCCGCCCACCTCCTTCACGTGGGGCGCCGCGGCCTGGGGGGGGGGGAGAGGGAGATGCGGAGAGAAAATTGGCAGCGAGGAATTGGTGGTGAAATGCCGGGGTTGCTGAGGGTGGTGTTTGTAGGTGTGGAGTGGATGGTGTTGTCACGTGTCATGCTGATATTACTTATGTATATTATATATATATATATATATATATATATATATATATATATATATAATATATATATATATATGTTGTGTGGTTGTGTGTGTGTGTGTGTGTGTGTGTGTGTGTGTGTGTGTGTGTGTGTGTGTGTGTGTGTCTGTGTTTATTGTTAAAATAATTCAGGAATGCAATACTGTCGCATCTTTATATGTATAAGAAATGTGTTGCATAGAGATATGATTATTGAAAATGATAACTGGATTGCTAATGTGGATACTTAAAGAATTGATAGATTAATAATACTGGTATTTCTCTTAGTTTTGTAGGTTAAATTTCGTGATATCTTTTCGCTGTTATCAATATGAACAATTTCCACCACCCGTTTTCTATGAGCGCCAACTCATATCTCTTTCGTTTTATATCATAAATTTTTCATTTTTTATCACCAACAAATTTCTGTTTTCTGTCCACTAATTTTCCGTTATCTATCTTCAACAAATTTTCGTTTTCTATCACCAAATTTCCGTTATCTCCACCAAATTTCCGTTATCTCAACCAAATTTCCGTTATCTCCACCAAATTTCCTCCACCAAATTTCCGTTATCTATCTCTACGAATTTACAGAATTTTCTAACCATGAATTATTTCCTGTTTTTCAACTCCATGAATTTCCCGTTTTCTAACACCATGAATTTCCCGTTTTCTATCTTCATGAATTTCCCGTTTTCTAACTCCTTGAATATCCCATTTTCTAATCATGAATTTCCCGCTTTCTACCTCTCGCCTCCCTCCCGCGGGCCGCCATGAGCCTTACCTTCATGAGGAAGAAGGGCGACATGGCGTTGGTGTTCATGAGGCGCGTCCAGGTGTCCTCGGAGGCCTCGGCGATCGGCGTCGGGAAGAAGAGCGACGCGTTGTTGACGAGGAGGTCGAGGCGGCCCCACTGCGCCTGCGCCTCCGCCACCAGCCGCTGCGCCGTCGCCGCCACCGCCACCGACAGGTCGCCGGAGATCACGTGCGCGCTCTTCGGTCGGATGCTGGGAGGGCGTGTGTTTAGTTGTTATTGTCATTATTGTTATTCTTACTACTATGATTGTTATTATTATTATTGTTATTCTTCTATGATTGTTATTATTATTATTATTATGGTTATGATTATGATTATTGTTATTATTATCATTATAATCATATTTTTCATCGTTGTCATCACCATATTCATCAGCATCATCCTTATCGTCATCACCACAATGATAATCGTCGTAATCATCACCATTATTATTATCACTATTATTATTACAGTTACTTTTACTATAATCCTTATCATCATCCCTATTGTTAGTATCATTAGTATCATCATTGTTGATAATACTACTACTACGACTGTTATTATCAATATTTTCATTATCATCATTATTTACATTATCATTGATATCATTATTATCATCTTGATATGGGGTCGCGGATATTTCGGTTTGAAAATTTTACGAAATACTTTTGATAATACTTTTATTAATGTTTTTTTTTTTATTACTGCTTCCGTTCATGGGCGGCTGACGAGAGAGTCAGCTGGAACGGCACTCACCTGTTGAGCTCGTCAGCAACGGCCTGCGCCTCCGTCCGCGAATTGTTGCAATGCACGACCACGTTGAAGCCTCGTCTGTGCAGCGCGAAGACGGTGGCCCTTCCGACCCTCCGAGCTCCCCCGGTCACCAGTGCCACTCGGCCCTCCCCCCACTGGCTCTCCGGCACTGCGGGGTGAGGGAGACCATTAGGCACTGCTCTCCTCTCCATGGTCGCGGAGGGTTTAGGAAAAGCGCGGTGCTTCTCGAGGGTTCGGAGCGCCCGGGAAAACTGGCGAGCGTCACTT